GCAAAAATGGAGAGTTAAAGCATATCTGTACCTCCTTACACACAACAAAAAAAAAGTTTAAATGTGGAAGTCAACCACCTTCATCTCCAAATTCTCAATGCCCTTCTCCACACTCCCCATGCTACTCTCGAAAATGATAATCGGATAGGGAAAACTAACAAAATTGTAAGGAGAGTGGTATAGGATAAGCTAGAGCAAGTTTAATTAGGAAAGGAGGGTAGGGTAAAGTAGCGTAGGGTAGGGTAGGGTAGGGTAGGGTAGGGTAGGGTAGGGTAGGGTAGGGTAGGGTAGGGTAGGGTAGGGTAGGGTAGGGTAGGGTAGGGTAGGGTAGGGTAGGGTAAAGTAGGGTAGGGTATTGTAGGGTAAGGTAGGGTAAAATTAAACAGACTACAAAAAATTAAAAATTGTGAAAGACAAGTGAAAATGATGACATAGCCCAGTAAAACTACAGCCAAATAAAAGAATGTTCGATGCAAAAACAACAGCCCTATTATAATGACCTAATAAGTACCGAGCAACCAGGAAATGTGTTAACAGTATAGTAAGAATACGAATACGCATGCAGACCATGTTACTATTAAAAACGCCATTAGCGTGTCTGTTGCTGGTTTTAATGGTTATTTTAAAATCTTTTGTAATTTTGTACTTTAAGGTTTTTTATTCAAAAATACATATTTCAAAAAAAATAATACAATGCGTATTTTACCGAAAATAAATATAAACCATAAGTACCCTGCTTTAGCCTACCGTACCGTAGCCTACCCCGAGCTACACAATCCAACCCTACCCTACTCTACTCTACCCTACAAAAGCCTACCCTACCCTACCGTACCCTACCCTACCCTATCTTATCCTATCCTATCCTACCCTACCCTAACTTACCTTATCCCATGATATCCTAACATACCCCAGTCTACGCTTGCCCTTACTCAACCAGTTCCTACCACGCCGTAGTATATGTTTCCCGCTTAAACGTAAAAAAGCCCTGCCCATTTCTAAAAACGAGCACCTTATTCTATCCTTCCGTACTTTACTCTTTTTTTACAGTGCCAAGCTCTACCTGACCCTCTCCTCAATTTATACTCCTACGCCTCATAACAAACCTTCTCCCTCTCTCTCTGCCATCAAAAATCAACTCTCCCCCCCCCCCCCCACCTTCCAAAAAACCTCAACCTCCACCCGCGCTTTCCCTCCCCCTAACTCTGATAATAGCAAAAAAAACCCAAAAAAAGCAATATTATCAATAACATTGTTCCCGAAAGAACCTCCACCAACCCTTCACTTAACCCACTCCATGCCACAAAAGCAATACCCGAGAAAACAGGCTCGTCAACAACAACCCCATTCACTTCATCCAATAAAAAGTGAACCAGAATTTAAATGCCTCGAGTAACTTTTGCCTCCGAAATAGCCATTGGGATAAAAAGTTATGGAATAAAAGTGAGGACGAGTGCAAAAGTCATCAAAAACGACGATTGGATTAAGAGGAGCGCTCGTACAAACCACCCCTCTTTCGGTCACTTGCTTCCGGTTAAGAGTGCAAAAATGTTTTGGCATACACATAATTGACTGTGGTCAAGATTTGTGGAGAAGATAGGGTGTGACAAGTTGGCGGATTTTTGACATTTTTGGATAGAAATGACATGTTGCTCTTGGTGAAGCAGGGCTACGTTTTGTAGAAAAAAGAGGATAGGGCAGGATATTTCAAAGAGGGTAAGGTGGGGCTGAGTAGAGTAAAATGTCGTAAAATAACATAGAGTAGAGTTGAGTAAGGTAAGGTAGAGCAAGCTAGGGTAGAACAGAGTAGAGTTGGGCAGGGTAGAGTAAGCCAGGTTATAACAGGGTAAAGTAGGTCAAAGTAGAGTAAGCTAGGGTATAACAGAGTAGAGTAAAGCAATATAAAGTAGGGATAGACATAAGGAACGGGCCTGCCCCATTTTTCAGGCCCTGCCCGACCAAAATTTTTCTCGGGCCCAGCCCAAATTTTTTACGTGTAAACGGGCCAGACCTAATGTCGAGGTAGGGTAGTATAGAGTGGGTTAGATAATGCGGGGCAAAGTTGAGTTGAGTAAAGGATATAGAAGTGTCGTGTAAAGCAAAAAAAAGATATTTTAAATCAAAGCATGACAAAAAAGTAAAAAAAATTTTCGAAAAAAAAATTTGTCATCTTCCCTCTCCCCTTGTCTCCTGCCCAAATCGCATTTACATTATCTAAAAACTCTATTGAAATGTAAAAACGTGATTATATTGTGAACTTAACCATAGTTATAGTGACCTTCTAGTCTCAGAAACTCCAAAAAAACACAAAAATCCTATAGTGTTCAAGAAGTTGGACGTATTTTACAGATTCCCCAACCCACCCTTACCTTCTAGCGCATTAAACAACATTAAAAACCCGGCTTTTTGTTCTGAATTCCCACTAGCTCAAAGGCATTGTTCTATATTCGTTTGAGATTCATGTAAAAGTCCATTACTGAGTAAGTAACCCCTACCCGCATTCTTGCAAAAACAAATAAATGGGAGGAACTTAATGTTGCATATTTAATAATGGCGCGTGACGTTGTATATTTATTTTTATCTTGCCCTACCCTAACATGTCCCACCTACCCGGCCCTTTCTTGTCGTGCTTTGCCTTGTCTTGGCTTGGCTAGGCTTGGCTTAGCTTGGCTTGCTTTGCCTTGCCCTGCCCGACATAAATCTACCTTACCCTACAGCCACTATAATTCTATTTTACCATGCCTATCGTCTTTATATACCCAATGTACCAACACATATATCAAAAATATTTTTTATCCTACCACAACAACTATACGACCGCGCAATATGCCGTAAAGTAAGTGTAGAGCAACATAGCTTAAAGAATGTCACACGCGGACACGTCAAAAACTTTAAAATTACATGCCGAAACGACCAAAAAACATATGAAAACGACAATAAAAAGCCGCGAAAATTTTACGAAAATTTTAGCGCTTTGTGTCAGTTTTGATAACTGTTATAAAGAGCGTTTATTTTAATGCTACGTACTTAGATATAGTATAATATAGTTTGGTAAGAGTAAAAAAGTGAAAATATACCCACCTGACCTACCCAACCCTACTTTACCCGACTCTATCCTACCATGCCCTACCCTACCCTACCCTACCCTACCCTACCCTACCCTACCCTACCCTACCCTACCTTACCCTACCCTATCCTATCCTACCCTATCCTACCCTACCCTACCCTACCCGACCCTATCCTACCCTACCCTACCCTTGCCTTTACTTTACTATGAAAGCCATTCCATAATCAAACTAATCCACCCAAGCAATAACCTACCTTAACTTATCTTACTCTAGCCTTACTATAAACATACTACCCCATCTAGACATGAGGACAGAACCATGCTCGAGCAAAAGGAAAACAGTTCAAGCCTAAACCTCTATCCTGGTCCTCGAGCGAGACTTGAAAAGTAGCCCCGTCGCGGCGCGATGCCCATGTACAACCCCATCCGAGCTATACGCTACCTTACCCGCATCTTTATCATAGCCACCCCTATTCATACTACCCCACCGTACCCTTCTCCTTACCCTATGCATAGCTTATTTGTATTACCCCACTCAATACAAAACCTACTTATCAAAAAGTCTTTAAAAACCATTTAGCAAATACAATCCCTGGTACTGTCAACTCTCAGTACTATATACAATTGAATAAAAGCAAATTTCGAATCGTTTCCGAAGAAAATTTGTGTATTCCGAAAACATTCGAAACAAAATTTATTGCGAATCCTCCACCTGAATGGGACCGTAATTAGGAGAGGATTGGACTCTGAGCAGCTGTTACATGCAAATCTACGCCTATTTCTTACCTTTTTAGAATTAAAATTGCGTAAATTTAAAAAATCGTGTAAATTAAGTTTTTTTTTATTTACGCAAAAAAAATGTGTCATACCATTGCAAATGTCAAAGTAAAATGCTTTTTATATTCTTTGCACTGCTTTTTGTATCGACCGTATAACTTGTCAACAGAAGGCTGCAAAGCTTTGATTTTTTTTGAGAACAAAAGGCAAGAACTTTCTTTACAAAGGTTCAAATTGCAAGAAATTTCTTTACAAACTGAAAAATGGCAAGAACTTTCTTTACAAAATAGCAAGAACTTTCTTTACAAAACAAAAAAAATGGCAAGAACTTTCTTCACAAACAAAAAAAATGGCAAGAACTTTCTTTACAAAACAAAAAATGGCAAGAACTTTCTTTACCAAACAAAAAATGGCAAGAACTTTCTTTACAAAACAAAAAATGGCAAGAACTTTCTTTACCAAACAAAAAATGGCAAGAAATTTCTTTACAAAATAAAAAACAAAAAAAAAATTTTTTAACAAACTTTTTCTGTACTTTAAACACTGTGTTTTTCATAATGCACTTCTCGTTTTTTCAAAAATAGTCCTCAATGTATTATAATAGCCTTACGTAGTTAGAATCCGCTTATTTCCCGGTTTATTTCTGTGTAATGAGAAAAAAAAACTTCTGCTTTGGACACTAAATATAATACGCGGAATTGTTACTACGTTTTAGGGCATTGGCACGTAGTAAGCTTTTTTATAAAAAAAAAGTTTTAAGCTTACAATGTGTATTTTAGGCCTAACTTTAAAAAATGAATATTAGAATTAAAAATTAATTTTAGGCTTAAACTAAAGTTAAAGCTTAAAAAACGAATTTTAGGCTTGAAAATGCACTTTAGGCTTAAAAATGAATTTCAAGCTTAAAAATGAATTTTTTACTTAAAAACATGAATTGTAGGCTTAAAAGTGAATTTTAGACTTAAACAAAATCTATTTTAGGCCTAAAATGAAAGTTGAGCTTGAAAATAAAATCTAGATTTGATTAATAAACTTTAGGCTTAAAAATTAAATTTTAGGCTTAAAAACCAATGTTAGGCTTAAAAATAAAATTCAAGCTTAAAAATGGATTTTAAACACAAAAATTTAAGCCTTGGGCCTAAAAATATTGAATTAAATCTCAAAACCAACCTTGAGCGAACAGTTCCAACACTTGAATTCCATTAAAACTGACTCCAAAGATTTCGCCAGCAAACTCATCATAAGTCAAATGATCTGATCGTTTCCTTCTCAAAACCACGACTTGAGCCGAATGCAACAAATTAAAAGAAGCTCCAACAGTAATGTACTTTTGAGAATTCAGGGTGAATAACTCTGATTTACCTAAAACTACAAGCCGTTATTAAAGGCTGTGTCATAATTTGTTATCCTGCCCTAATAAGAACATTGGAAGTAGAAGTAAAGTAATAGTAATAATGATTGGCTTACCATTACTTTCATACAAAATAGGTTTCATTTCATCCAACACAAAGGTGACAGTACTACGATTTCTTTTCATTTTGACCAAATGTTCTCTACCGTCATTGACTAGCGTATCAAAATACCCAACATGGTGATCTTTGCTTCCTAGGTTGTATCTAACTTGAACGTATCCACCACCAAGAAACAGTGTCATATAATCTCCATCTACGGCACATTGTACTGACAGTAGTACTCCGTTTGAGCTTTGGGTCCTGAAAATTAATTTTTTAGCGTAAACTTGTTATTTTTTAAGCCTAAACTTCATGTTTAAGCGTAAACTAGTTCTTTTTTAAGCCTAAACGTCATGTTTAAGCCTAAAGCTAATTTTTAAATCTAAAACTCATTGGTAAGCCTAAAATTCATTTTTAAGCTTAATATTTCCTTTTTAAGCCTTAAATTAAATTTTAAGTCAAAAAATCCATTTTTAAGCCTAAAATCCATTTTTAAGCCTAAAATTCATTCTTAAGTCTAAAATCTTTTTTTAAGCTTGTAATTTGTTTTTTAAGCCTAAAATTAAAATTTAAGCCAAAAAATCCATTTTTAAGCCTAAAATTTATTTTTAAGCCTCAAATTCAACTTTTAAGCCTGAAATTTCTTTCTGAAGTCTAAAAATTAATTTTTTAAAACTTCCCAACAAACACAAATTTTATTAAAAAACTCTATTATATCCGTCATATTGAATTTTCATACCTAAAAGCCAAAACCACATTATCCTGCACAGTATTTGGTTGTACTCCAGCGTACTCATAGTAGATGACATTAGCCTGACCATTGAATTCGTAGCTCGTAGCCGGCTTCTCACAATACCTTCCACTATGGGCCGTCTCCGTACAATCACATCGTACTCCGCGCCATCCTTGATGACATTGACCTTCGTTTTGGCACAACCTTGGAGCACATCGTACGTCCGGACCTTGACAACCTTTAATGAGGTCTTTGCTTGCGATATTATCCGAGAAGATGTCATGCTGAGTTTGAGCGATTTTTAGGCCAGAGAAGCAGCCTCTGAAGCCGGATACTGTGGCTAGATCGTGCTTGGCTGGAATGAAGGATTCTGGAAAGCCGCCAATCAGAATCCAGCCATTGAAGCCGGAGAAGTCGTAGGCTGAACTCTTGATCTTGATCTCTTCTTCGTCTAGGAGGATCTTGTGGCTTGTCATGTCAATTGCGTCCTGAAATGACGTTTTGTAAAGAAAGTTCTTGCCATTTTTTGTCTTGTAAAGAAAGTTATTGGCATTTTTTATTTCGGAAAGAAAGTTCTTGCCATATTTTGCTTTGTAAAGAAAGTTCTTGCCATTTCAAATATAAAATCAAAATTGACCTTTTCAATATGAACAGAATGCCATTTCATGTCATTCAACCTCTTGTTACTTTCCGGGAAGACCAATGTAGTCTGTCCGAACCTGTACCTCAACCGGCCCCTTATCATCTCCACCGACAGCAGTATATTATGTTCTCCAATGGGGGTGGTTTCATTATTGACCAATGCCAATATCAGTCCATTCGTGGTGATGGTCTTGAACTTGACCGCCAGTTTGAAGTCGTTATTGTTTTGAAAATTTGCATAAAATTGAGCAAAGCCTTTTTCGGTTTCAAAATTCACAGAATTCTGTTTCACCTTCCGAGCCTTCGATGATATGGTTGTGTGTTCAAATGGCACAGTGATATCATTGTTGTCGGCACGTACCTTTTCGAGTACGTCGTACTGATTGAACGTGAGTTTGAGCAAATCGCCCGAGGGTTTTAGACGTTCGGTAAAAAGTTCCAGAGGTGGGTTCACATTGACATCGAGAATTTGTTGAAAGGCTTGCCCTGGGGCTATGTCGTGGATTAGGAGGGACATGTCGCTTTCCGGGAGGAAATCTGAAATTTTTTTGAAATTTAAAATTTTAAAAAATTGAAATTTAAAGATTAGGACAAAAGAAAAAGAATCGGAAACAAAATTAAAGCAAGACAGAGAAACACAACGGCAAGGCAGACAAAGGAAGAGAAAAGGAAGGACAAAGGCAGGGCAAAAGCAGGGCAAAGGCAGAACAAAGGCAAGGCAAGGCAAAGCAAACGCAGGGCAAAGGCAAAGCAAAGGTAGGACAAAGCAAGGTAAAGCAAGACAAGGCAAGAACAGGAGCCAAGGCAAAGACAAGTTAAGAGACAAAAAAAGTATCAAAGACAATGTCAAGGGGGATTGGAGGGAGGGGCAGGAATCAAGAGAGAGGTAAAAGTAAGGATAGGTCTACTTAAAATAAAAGTTGATTAGAAAGTAAGAGAAAAAGACACAAAAAAAATAAATGATTCTAAACCTACGACTATGTTCCCACTTGCCATCCAAGTACAACAACAATTTGGTTCCTCTTCGTTTCACTCTAGCTGTATGCCAATGATTGTCATTTAGGGTTCGACCACCCCATGTAAATGTCTAAAAAAGTTTTAAAAAATATTGTTTTTCTACCCTACCCTGTCCTACGTAACCTTAAACTTGACTATCCTACTCTACTCTACCTTACCTTAACCTACCCTAACTGACCTCACCCCCCTCTTACACTAATCTACCCTACCTACTTTACCCTACCCTTCACTGCCATCCCTTCCCTATCATTTCTAAACGCATGTCCTAGCCTAGAATCCAATGTATTTAGTATTTACATGTTTAGCACCATTAGCAAAGTGCAACGCCAACATGAGTTCGCCATGATGCATAAATAAAAGCCACCTGTCTGGCGAGCCTTCTGCTTTTGTGTCCAACAATAAGATATCCTCATCTTTTGTCCTAAACTTTATGTCCAACATCTCTGCTTGACTGTAGGTTGGGGTTTCTAATCTAAAACAATATAATTTCAATTTAGGCTTAAAAAACTTTTTTTTGTTAAAAAGCGCTTATAAATAAAGCCTTAGACTTAAAACCAAATTTTAAGCGCTAAAGCCAAAATATCACCTAAACAACGGCTGCTGATCCTGTAAAATAGATAAGGAGATTGGAGGTAGTGCAATATCACAAAGTGGTCCGTCGTAAATAGTTAAGCTGCAATCGCATTCAAAAGTTTTGAATCCGTTTTGACATCTACCAAAGTTTTTACATGGCGAAGTGGCACAATAGTCAATGGCTTCAGCTGAGGCAGATGTGGCTGTTGAGGTTGAGGTACATCCTTAAAACAAAACAATATTATTTTAGTCAATGGCAGGACAAGACAAGGGTAAAAGGTAGGGCAGGGCAGATAAAGCAGGACAAGCCAGAGCAAGGCAAAGCAGGGCAGTTCAGAGCAAGGCAAGGCAAGGCAAGGCAAGGCTAGGCAAGACAGAACAGGGCAAGACAAAGACAGGCTTACCTAACGCAATTCCATCAACATGAGTCTGTTGACCGGTTGTATTTCGCGACGGTGTATTTAAAAAAGCCGCTCCTATTTGAGTATTTATCCCATTGATCCTCAAGTTCTTCAGGCAACCAACATAGCCTTGCCGAAGATGTCCTGACCATATTGTTGATGGTAAGGGTAATATAGAGGAATAATTCCAAGCACTGTTATACGTTGGGGTCCAAGGAAAGGCTCCGAGGTAGATTGGCTCGTCTGGAAATAAAAGTTCAAAAAAATTTAATTGCAGGAACTTTCTTTACAAAATGAAAAATGGCAAGAACTTTCTTTCCAAAACCGAAAATTGCAAAAACTTTCTTTACAAACAAAAAATGGCAAGAACTTTCTTTACAAAACAAAAAATGGCAAAAACTTTCTTTACAAACCAAAACTTTATAAAACGTGTACCACCAGTACCACTCACCAATGATTAAATTAGCAGAAACACCTGGAGTCGAAAAATCTGTTTTGATCGTATCTACCGTAACACTTCCTTGTCGCCCCACCCTTTCCAATGTGACACTATGCCAAACACTTCCTTCGTTCACTCGTTTTGAGGTAGTTTGAAGTCGAACATAACCTGACCCCAAGTCTAGTACCATAAATAGGTGTCCATCACTGAGTTCGAAGGCAATGTAATCACTTGACCCATTTAGTGGGACATCTTTCACGCCGTGGTACAGGATAAGGCCGTCTGTTGAGGTGGTTCGGAATTGAAAACCTAATTTTTTTTTAATTTTTGAAAAAAACATATTTTTTATTTTTTCTTTATTCATTTTGAACTTTGGTTAAAGAAGACCATATTTTACCAAAGTTTTCCGCTCAAGCTGCGGTAAGCATTTTATACGATAAAACATGTCCGACTTAAATCTCCAAAAATGAAAAAAAATTAGCTCTATTTCACCCTACCGCTCCAGAATAACCCAAAAAAATAAAAAAAACCACTCCCCCCCCCCTCACCCGCCATTTCGAGATCACCAAACCTCCTACCTAAACTTCCACTAGAAAGCGAGTTCCATTTCGGCAGTGTAATATAACTCTGACCCGTGTGAGCAAATGATAGCACGTCCGGCAACGTATTCGCTGATTCTTGACACGAAAATGCCAAATCGCCACCGGTTCGTATCACAGATTTGCCAAAGCCTTGGTCGGCCAAGTCGATTATGTCGAGGGATTGGACGTCCGCTTCGTATTTTATCTGAAATTTGAGAAATTATAAGACGATTTTTAAAATTTTTGAGTTTATTAGGATCAGAACATCATGCCAAAGACAACCACAGTTCATTTTTCGTCAAACTAATTCCAAAAAATATTGTTATAGGGCTTCAAAATTGAAAAAGTCCCCGAAATGCCAAAAAAATGGCAAAAAACTAGCTGTAACTCATTTTAAGACCAAAATTTTTTTAATTTTTCAAAAACCCAAGGTTGTCTAAAGCCTTCCAGTCATTTAAAATAAATATATAAAACTGGCAATAACACCTTAATTTTAAAAAATACAATGAAATGCCTTTAAAGTTCTAAAAACCCCCAAAAAACCAAAAAAATTGGCAAAAACCTGCCATAACAGAATTCAAAACCAAAAATTAAAAAATTTTTACAACAGCCATAATAAAACATAGTCTTGTCGACAATTTAAAACTCACAGCTAACACTGACAATATCAATTTTATTTAAAAAAGACAACTAAAATCCCTTAAAATTCAAAAAATCCCCCAAAAACCCAAAAAATTGTCAAAAACCTGCCATAACTCAACTCAAAATCAAAAATTTAAAATTTTTTTCAACAATCATAATCAAGTATCACCTTCTCAACATTTAAAAACCCCCACCTGCTTCATACATCCCTTGAACATGTAGTTATAAGGCGGAACATACGCCTTACCCACCGCCGATCCTCCGACGTAGGCAAAACTATTGCCTAGCCATTCTGTTTGTGAAGCAAACTGTTTCACTTCATCTGTATTGCCATCCACTGTGAAGCGCATCTAAAATAACATACAATCAAAATTTTAAAAATAGTCTTAGAAAAAATGGCAATACAAGCCAAAAGTGTTTGGGTTAAACCACAAATCTCACTTCAAACCGGGTAAATATAGGAAAAAAGTGTCAAAAGGTATGACATATATTAAGCATTTTTATTAAAAGTAGTGTGCAGGTCACAGCAATCCATGTGCAAATATACATTTATATAAACGAAAATTTTTATGACCGTATTTTACCTAATATTAAATTACAAGAAAACATTTTTAAGTCAGGTAGGAGGAGTGGTAGAGGCAGGGAAAAAACAGAGGCAAGATAAAATAGAGAACGGCAGGGTAGGGTAAGACAAGGTTGGGTAACGTAGGGAAAGAGCACAGATAGAGGCAAGAGTAGAGGTTAGGGGTAAAAGCTCGGGAAGGGACAAAGGCTGAGGCAAGGCAGAGATAAAATGTATAATTTTAGAGAAAATTCCATATTTTCAAAAATTGGGTAACAAAAACTAGTCGACTCTAAACGCAACAGTAAAAGAAAAGAATAATTTACGATAGCTACTATATTATTCTGGGTATTATGACGTGCTGAAAACATTGAGAAACAACATAAAAACTCTTTAGTAAGCAGAGTTTGTGATATGGTAGTACCATGCTTTGGATAATGTCTTACGCTACCTCGCTATCGTACCCTACCCTAACCTACCCTACCCCACTCGGCCTTACCTTACTCTACTTCATCGTACCGTATCGTACTCTACTCCACCCAACCCTCACTTTAACTTAACTAGCCCTGCCCTACCGACCTTATCCTACCCTACGTCACTCTGGCCTGCCCTACCTATCCTACCCTACCTGACCTTACCCATCCCAATCATTATCGAGCCTACCCTCCCCAACCCTATATTTTTTCATATTAACCATCAGCCAAGTACAGCACGCTTGAAAAATCAACAAAAAACAGAAATAACACCGGGTTAACCGCAAACATTTCAATCACCATGCTGGTGATCTCAACTTACGATCAATGATGTGTATTTTGTACCCGTCTAAAACAAAAAAAATGCAAATAACTTTAAAAAATTGAAGAGAAACCACTGTTAAAAATGACCATTAATAAAAAAAATTTTTTTTAAATAGTACCAGTTATAAAAAAGTTTAATCTTAAATATTGTACATAAAAACAGTACTAATTAGTACTATTTAATACGCCGTACTAAAACTACGCGTTCGTCATAGTACTAGTACTACTTGAAAAGCACTATAAAGTACGTAGTAGTTAAACTAAATTCAAAAGTACTATTAAGTACGTCGTATTTAAAATAATTCCAAAAGAACTATACAGTACGTCGTACTAAAAACTGCTTTAAACGTACTATAAAGTACGCCGTACTAACTTAAAATCTAATGTTCACAATATCATAAATTTCTTAAAAATACTAATTTATCGTACTATGTAGTACCACAAATCAAGAAAAACAAAAAAAAACAGTACCATTTGAAGACTACGATGAAGATAAACACTGTGCCATTTCCCATCGTCATAGCGTACTGGCTTCAGCCCTTGAGAAAAGCGCTGTCGAATGATTCGTTTGTCACTACCAAACAGCTTCGAAGCAGCTATTAGTATACCTCTTTCTAGTACTAATTGAACGTAGTTCTGAAAGTTAGTCAGGATTATAATTCTAAAATACCAGTAGTACTATTTATAAAGTAGTGGCCGTTTTATATAGTAATTGCAGTGTTATATAGTACTAGCCGTGCTATATAATACAACTAGTGCTATATAAAACTATTCGTGCTGTATAGTACCTACACGTGCTATACAGTATCCTCCGAATTATTACCAGTAGTGCTATCTAGTACTACTAGTGCTATCAAGCACAAAAAATGATATATAGTACTACTAGATGATAAAAACCAAAAAAATTACCTGACGATCTCCAGCAACAAACAAAAGCCCATTCTGGTGCTTGGTCTTGAACTGAAAACTGACATTTTCTGACCTGCTTAATATTGAAGCAGACGAACTATTCGAAACGTCATATCCAATCCATTCATTGCCATAAAACGACAATTCAGACGAAGGTTTAGCTAAAATTTTTAAAATTTAGGCCAAAAATGAAGTTTTTAAAATGCTCTGCCCCTTCACTCAAGCCTAAAACTTTACCCTGCCTTGCCATACCTTAAAATTTTACCCTACCCTACCATAACAAACCCTACCTTTCTCACACTGCCGTCCCTCAAAATCGCTTGGACACTCGCATTTTGGCCCATCGTTCGTCGAGTAGCATCTCCCATCGTTCCTGCAGAATTGAACCGGATTTACTGATTCCATACAGTAATCATCATCTGTCAACCGAGTACCAAACGAATCGATAAGCTGAGGAGATGACACGCCTTGAGGATAAAGCCGATAAACCAGGTTTTTCATTGATCCAGCAAATTTCTTTGTATGACGACGAAGAGGTGAGGACATCGTGGCCAGAAGGTGAATATCCTGAAGGTTAATGTTGTAAATCATAAAATTAGTAAAGGAACGAATCGTGTATCTCATTCCAAACAACATATCCAAAAATCACTTCATCACAATGATTTTGGCACAAGTTATGTTCATTTTCATAAATTTTAGGTAACAATAACCTACATTTTTCAGGTTCAATTGAAGCAAACCCTAAAATCAGAAGAAAACTAACAAAAACTACTTACTTTTGGAATTCCACCAACAAATACATCAGAATTGGTCCGTAGATTCCCAAAAACAAAGCTTCTTTGGGTAATAATCTTGAATTCCACCACGTCGTCCACTTGCAGTTTGATGTTCTCCCATGCCTAAAACACAGTTTTTAATGTGAAATTTTTCAAAGTATAAATAAAAACTGTTATAAATAGATAAAGCAAAGTATTCTTGAGGTTTTAAAATGTATTTTACTTTGAAACAAGCTTTGGACAAAAAGTTATATTGTGTTAGACATCGCGAACAACAGCTTTTTTGCGATAAGTCAGGTTTCGCAAGCTTTTTTTCATAAATTCATCCAAAACATTATTAAAATAAAATGGCAAAACATTAGAAATACCTATATCTCATATATAAACCTATAAAATTAACAATTATATTGTTTTACATTCAAAAAACTTCAAAAATCGGCCGAAAACCCGAATTTTTTGATAAATTTTTCCGATTTTTCAAAAAAATGGCGCTAAAAAAAGTTCAAATTTGAATAAAATTTTACCTGGAACAAGATGAATCTATGCCAATTCCCATCGGATATTCGAACACCTTCCAATCGTAATGTATGGACTGGTCTGCTGAGCATCGTATCTTGTTCATCACCAAGCCTGAAAGCAATATTTTTTGTGATTTCTTTAGCTTATTGTGATTTTTAAATGTAATTTTAGGTATCTAAAGTTATTTTTTCTTCTGTGTTTTACTTAGAAAAAGCTTTTTCTTGGATTTGTTACCTAAATGTAACGTTTTAATGTTTCATACTTAAAATCAAAAAGATTTCGCTTAATTCAGAAATTTGTTACCTAAAATCCAGTTGAATGTGGCCGTTGACGATGGTGATGCAATAGAAGTTGCCTTGAATCCCACCGTCGTCTGTGTAGAGTAAAAGGGCATTTTCGGATTTGGTTTTGAATTCAAATGACAGTTGATTTTCGAAGGTCTGTGCCCATTTTGGGTACCTGGAAAGAAAGTTTTTGTGTTTTTTTTTATTTTTTTCAATTTTGAAAAGTTACGCTTTAAAACGAAATTTAGGCTTAAAAAAGAAACTTTAAACTTAAAAATGAAATTTTAGGTTCAAAAAATGAAAAATTACTTAAAAATTTTCATAATCCACCCTCAAAACCACCCACCCATACCCACCTAGCATATGCGTCTTTGGAACCCGTGAGAATGAGCGAAGATATATAATCCAGTTTACATAGTAAATAAACAAAAATAATTAGTGTGGAGGATCTTTTGTAAAGATACGACTGCGCACGGCGCTTCACGGTCATCATAACACTTCATCTGGGTTTGGATGACATGGAATTGTCATATCTTGAAGGTGAATGGCTTTTAGGGTTACGTGGTACCTAAAATTTGACTTTTTGTAGAAAAATTTGAAAAATTTAAAAAATGGGACCGTTCACGCAAAAAAAGCTAGAATTATGGCTTATGGCATAGCATGGTAACATTAAAGTAGGGAAAGTAGTAATTGAAGATCAGGGTAGGGCAGCTCAGTAGAAATACAGATAGGAGAGGGCATAGAGGTAGAGTACAGTAAGGCAAGCCAGTAAAGGTAGAGAGAGGTAGGGTTTGGTAGGGCAGCTCAGGAGCGGTAGCGAGAGAGTACGATTGGGCAGGGCACTTTATTGAGGTAAAGATAGGCGTGAGGTAGGGAGGTGTAGAGTCGGATCAGGACAGGTTAGATTGGGTAGAATAGGATACGGTATCGAAGATAAGGTACGATAGAATTGGGTTGGCTAGCGTAGGGTAACGTATGGTACGGTAGGATACGGTAGAGGAGGATAAGGTACGGTAGGGTGAGATAAGGCATGGATCTGCTTCAGCTCGAGTATGGTAGGGTAGGGTAGGGTAGAGTAGGGTAGGGTAGGGTAGGGTAGGGTAGGGTAGGGTAGGGTAGGGTAGGGTAGGGTAGGGTAGGGTAGGGTAGGGTAGGGTAGGGTAGGGTAGGGTAGGGTAGGGTAGGGTAGGGTAGGGTAGCAAGGCAAGGATTTTTGCGTCGGCGTGACCGTAAAGAACTAAATCGTCGCTCGATTAGGATCAATGACTCTTCGGGGACCCAAAGACAACGGCCGCTGAATAACGGAGATGGATTGAATTCGAGTATCACGCAAAAAACAATGATACCCCCATGGGGGAGGGAAACGAAGAAAAAAACCCGACCCAACAAAGGTTGAACTTTAAAAGAATAAACAGTGAACGACACAAACAAATTCGTCATCATTATATAAAGGCATGGGTAAGAAAAATGTTTATACGCGACAAAGATATATGTATACAAGGAAGTGGAATTATATTTTTGGAATACAAAATAAAGCAATTAAACAGACTTTAATCGTAACTATGAGCTAGAGATATTATCCTTCGGATATGGAAGTTCAGGCTTACAAATGACGTTTAAGCATAAAAACAGAAATTTGGGCTAGGTAGGTAAACTTTAGGCTTACAAAATGGCGTATACATCGGAAGGAAAATTTAGGGTTAAAAATAAAATTTTAGGTTTAAAAAGAAAATTAAGGTTTAAAATGAAATTTTAAGCTTAAAAATTAAATTTTAAACTCAAAATGAAATTTTTTGGTTTGAAAATAAAAGTTTAAGCTTAAAACGAAATTAGTGCTTAAAAAGTAAATTCAGGCTTAAAAATGAAATCGTAGTCTTAAAAATGATGTTTTAGGCTTACAAATAAAATATAAAATTGTATATTCAATTTTAGGCTTAAAAATACATCCTTAGGTTTGAAAGAAAGTTTTAGGATTAAAAAAGGATTTTAAACCTAAACATGAATTTTAGGCTTAAAATTTGATCTTTATGTTTAAGAATTGAGATTTAGGCCTAAAAGCAAACCTTAAGTCTTAAAAATTTTGTTTTAGGCTTAACGATGATATTAGGTCTAAAGAACTAATTTTATACTAATAAACTTAAGTCGCCTAAAACCGTTTTAAAAAATATAAAAAACTGCTGCTACAATTAAATTATTTACCTTATTAAACAAAATGTCATGTATAAAAATCCCCCTTGTCCCCCCTCCCTCCCACCCCCCCCTTCAAACAGTGCTTTTCCAAAATAGGATTACAGCAAATTGCCCAGTCCTTTTTTTAACAACTTGACCAAACACAGATTTTCGATATCCCTTCGAAAAGCCGGCCTTTGCTTCCGGCTCTTTTTTCCTCTAATTTTTAGGCCAACTTATCCCGGAACTCATCCCCAACAAGGGCTCAATTCCAGTCGTTATTCAAACAATTCCCATTATTGAGTCTGCCAAGGTTTCAAACTTTATTTTAGAGGTTTTTTGAAATACGAATTTCAAAAAATTTTGAATTTATAATTTTGAGCTGATAAATGAATTTTGTAGCTCAGAAAAGAATATCTAGGCCTCAAAATGAATCTTAGGTTTAAAAATTAAGTTTAGACCTAAAAGGTAAATGTTAAGCTTAAAAATAATTTTTAGGCCTAAAAAGTGGTTTAGGATTATAAACAAGTTTTAAGCTTAAAAAATGAATTTTAGGCTTAAAAATGAATTTGAAGCTTGCAAATGGAATATTAGCCCTACAAACAAATTTAAGGAATAAAATTAAAAATTTAGGCTTTAAAATAGAAACTTAGTCTTAAAATATATTTTTTTGTATAATTGAATTTAAAAGCAAATTTTAGGCTTGAAAAAACTTTTAAGCCTACAAACAAACGTAAGGCTTAAAAATTAAATTCTAAGTATAAAAATAGTATCTTAGGCTTTAAAAGCAAACTTTAGACTTACAAACAGAAATGCATGCTTATAAATCAAATCTTTTGCGTAAATGAACCCTTTAGGTTTAAAAACTGAAATATAGGCTTAAAAATACATTTTTAGGCTTAAAAGCCAAATTTAATGTTTAAGAATCTAATATTAGGCTTAAAATAAAATTGTAGGCGATGAAAGGTAAATTAGGCTTAAAATAAAACTGTAGGCAAAAAAATTAGGCTTAAAAAACTTTTGGTTAAAGAACAGAATTTTAGGTTTAAAAACGATAGTCTAGGCTTAAAATTAAATTTCGGGTGGAAAAATGAAATTTCTTACCTTATCCCACCCTATTCTACCCTACACTACCCTGCTCTATCTCACCATATCCTACCCCACCCTTCTCAACATATCCTTCCTCCTCCATCACCAAGAACATAACTTTCCTCCTCCCCCACCAAGAACGTAACCTTCTTCCTCCCCACAAGGAACGCTATTCCTATCGAAACCTCATCACCCCTACGAACTTTCAACCACGATTAAATAACCAAACCCAAAGTTAATGTAAAAATAATTGAGAGACTTTTTCTCATGATTAAATAAGCGCCACGCTCCCACCCGTCCTTCTGGTATAAGCACCCAATTGTACTAATTAAATGCTTCGAATAGTTTTTGCGCGAAGAGATTTTTGGCCAGAAGATTAAAAAAAACGGCCCGAAAAAGGGAAAATCCGCGGCCCAAAATTCAAAAAGCCAATTCGGTTACACTATCAAAAGGGTAAATTACGTTTGAATGTTGTGGAGAAAGTGCTGGCGCAAAAATAAATTTGCACGTAAAATCTACGTAGAATTCGAAAAAAACGCGTAAATTTAGTTTGAATGGAACAAATAGAGGGTTTTTGATACTCTAGAGGTCTGGAAAATAAATAAAGGTCAGTTGTGTATAAGATTTTACGGTAGAAAATTAGTTTTAGACTTAAAAATGAATTTTAAAATAATGAGCCGTAAACCTATGACCAGGCGGGGACTTTCGATCTGGAGGCGGGGTTCCGAAAAATCGGCATAGGAAGGTGCTACCAATCGCGGTTTTTTGCAAAAATTTTTTTTCAAAAATCCGCAGGGGGACCAGGTTCAACTTTTTTTCCGTCCCCCCCCCCAGCGCCCGGCTCAGCCTTCAGCCTATGACTATTGCTAGGACTAAAACTAAGACCAAGGGTTTGGACTAGGAGTGAGGTTAAGGCCAGAAATACAAATAAGCATAGATCTAGAGCCAAAGCGCAAAGGTTATAGGCTTGAAGCAGTGCTAGAATTAGAACCGGGGCTACAGACTTGAGGTAGGGCAAGGGCTAGAACTAAAGCTAGGGTCTTGGAATAGAGCTAAGGCTAGAGACATGAAATATGACTAATGCTATGGCTAAAGGGTAAAACTTAGGCCAGGGCTCAGAGCTCTAGGCTAGGGCTCTGGGCTAGGGCTCTGGGCTAGGGCTCTGGGCTAGGGCTCTAGGACAGTAGTATAAGGCAGTACAATATCAAATATACTCTACACAAAACAACATATTTTTAAAGGAAAGTTTTGTCGTCGTATTTTACAAAATTTTTAGGCTTACGTCCTCAAACCACTTTTCACACAGTTAAAAAATTAAAATGTGTAGAAAATTCTTCCTCATCCAAAATTCAATACAATTCCATATTGCACTTCTGAGTCCCAGAATGACCGTTAAGAAGATCGTTAAAGTATTTTTGAAAAAATAAATTACTCTTTTTTAGTGTTTCACTTCAAACCAAAGTTTAACTAAAAAAATTGTTTTATATTTATAAATAGTTTTAACTCCAAAACTGAACTTGTTCTTTATTTAATAAACTTTTAAAAATAAATCGAAAAATTAGCTTTTAAACTATATTTTTGACTTCGTAACTAAAAATCTAAAATTTAAAATAAAAAATAAATTTGAAAGTTTAAATTTATATTAAGGATTTAAAATTTGGTTATAGACATTTTTTAAGCCTTAAATTTATTTTTATGCGTAATTTTCATATTTAAGCCAGGTTTTCATTTTTCAGTCTAAGGTTTCATTTTTAAGCCTAAAATTTTATTCTTAAGCCTAGGTTTAATTTTTATGCCTAAAATTTCATTTTGAAGCCGAAACTTCATTTTTAAGCCTAAAATATTAATTGAAATTCTACAGTCTAACCTTCAATCTAACATTGAAATCCGACCCCTTCAATCCCCCCCCCCTTTATCCGGCATGTCCCATAAACTCGGAAGTGTTTTGTCAAAATTTGCATATGCAAATAGTGAGCGGCTTAAAAAAGCAAATAGTTTCGAACCGCCATCCCATTGTCTTGACCCTTTGAAAACTCCAGAATTTTGAACAAAAAACGTTTTTTGGAATTAACAATAAAGAAAACCGACTCCAAAACTTAAAACACCGGAAATTTGCACTCTTTTTGGTGTAAGTTGAGGTCAAATTGTGTGAAAAATGTCTGAGCGTCGAGAACGTAACATATAGGAAATGTCAAAAAGGACGGCTAAAGGAAAGGTGTTACAAATAACGTCATT